GCTGTCCACACGGGGTGCCTATGCCTGCCGTGGGCACGGGCCCTCGCTGTCCACACGGGGCTTTGATTTCTCCCAGATGTGGGTCTCACGCTTCCCTTGTTTGGCGAGGTCCTAGGCATTCTTGTTTTCATGACTTCTGCCAAGCTCGGAGAGCTCAGTGCCCACAAGGGCCCCGGGTTGGGGCCAGGCGCTCCCCATGGCTATTCTACCCAGGGAGGGGTCTCCAGCTCTGTCCTCCCTTTAGGGACTGACCCTCAGTGATCATTCCCTGCATTGTCCTGTTAAGGCAAGAAGAATTTTCAAAACAGGCCTGAATGTCATCCTTCACAGTGATCTGCGCCGGCCAGGACCGTTCCTCCTGGAGCAGCTCAGCTGTGCAGTATGGCAGAGAGGTCGGCTCTCACTCAGCCTCTCTCCTCTGCTGCCCAGACGGCTGCCCCTTCCCGTAGCCGGTCAGGCCACTGAGCATCCGTGGGCACCAGAGGCCACAGCCCTGACCCTGCAGCACTCCTGCCTCAGCCCCTGTGCTTGGTCCTCCCGGCCAGTGTGGTCTCCAGGACCCCGGCGGAGCCCCGAGCTCTTCTTGGATCCTGTCCACCTGCCTCTGGGCCCCTGCCCACCCCAGCCTGCACCCCAGGGACTGGTTTGAGCCAGTTAACACCACAAAGCAGGCGTGTGACCTTAGCCGTCCCTCCCACATCGGCTTCATCAGATGAGCCTGTTGAGACCATTCCCGGTCAAGCCTTCTGAAACCCTTGCCCATTGTCGTAATCAAACAGCTCTCGAGGGAGTTCAGGGACGGGAGAGCGCGAGCGGGAGGAAGCTGGCCAGGTGCCCCCACAGGCACCCTCTGTGCTGTTCTCAGTGCTGCTGTGCCTTCGGAGCCTGCTGGTCTTGCTCTGGCTTTTGCCCCGAAGCAGCTCTGTGGGCAGCAGCAGCTCTGGGGTAGCCTCACGGCTGCAGCCACGCTTTGCTGGGGAGCAGCCAGCCTCAGGTCCTTCGCACGTGTGAGGGTCAGCTATGGTCAGCTATTGCAAGAGTGGCCCCTGACCCCAGGTGTGGAAATCTGGGTGTGACACCAGCTGCTGTCTGGAACCGGCCATCCCATCCCACTGACGCGGGCTGTCGGGTGATGCTGCCATGGGCAGGTGGGCCCCCCGGGACTTATCTCCGTTGCTGTCTTTCCGCAGACGCTCTGCACAAAAGCCACCATGCAGACGGTCCGGGCTGCTGACACCAATGAAGTGGTGAAGCTCATATTTCGTGAGTCGGACAACGACCGGAAGGTGAGTGGGGCCTGTGACTGGGCGGGTGACACATGGGGCCTGCGCGGGACTCTGCAGCCTCCCTCAGAGCCGCCCTGCCTGCCCAGGGCAGTGGGGCCGGGGGACACGCACAAGGCTAGGGGAGCTCAGGTGCTCATGGACCGCTCTGACTTCACAGGTTATGCTCCAGTTAGAAAAGAAACTCTTCGACTACTTCAACCAGGAGGTTTTCCGAGACAACAACGGCACCGCGGTGAGTTTGTGATCCGGTGTGGCAGCTCCCCCGTCCGGGGACACCCACACCCCCAGGCCCTCCCATTACTTCTACTTACCTGGGACCACCCTGCCTTGTCCCTGCCACCTCCAGGGCTCAGCTCCGAGCCGGTGCAAAGCAGACTGCCGGGGACACACGTTGGGTGCGTCCTGCACCTCGGGCCGGGTTCGGTGGAGGCTCCGTGTCACTGTCCTGTCCACAGGCAGCATGACGCTCACTTAACCCATCAGCTTCAGAGACCCCCATGTGTGTGAGGGGAGACGCTGGTGCTGTGGGGTGGGGAGGAAACCCCCTTGTCTCAGAGTGGGCCGGCGGGACCTCAGGCTTCGCTCTGAAGTGGGAGACTGAAGGGAGCAGGTTCCCCACACTCCCGTCGCTAGACTTGCTGTGTGTGGGTCTGTGTGTGGGCACGTGTGTGTGCACTAGTGCTTGCATGTGCACATGTGCACGTGAGTGCGTATCTGCATCTGTGGGATGGGTGTGCCGCTGTGTGTCCATGAGCACGTGTGTAAACTGAGGTGTGCGTCGGTGGGAATGTGAGGCTCAGGTCAGTCCACGGAGAGGCGGCCCCTGCCAGAGGCAGCCCTGGCTGCTGGACCTGCTGTCGGTTTTGAAATCGTGAGTCTTCCCTTCGAGGGATTAGTGTAGGCAAGCGCTGAGGGGTGGCCTACACACTCTTTTTACAATTTTGTTTTTTTATTGTGGTCTACTTTTGTCCCATTTTTGGTGTATTTACAAATGTTTATCAGCGTAAAGAACCACATAGTACCTGGCTGGGGCCCAATGTGCGGCCTCAGCTTATTTCTGTAAACACGCCCACCGTGGCGAGTCCAAGCCACACGTGATGCTGTGTGCAACGAGCCAGCGTCCAAGATCTGGAAATCTCGGCATCGGTTCCTAGGGCTGTCCCGAGCCAGCTGTGGTCCCCCCGGCACTGTGTCAGGGCAGGCGGCCCGTCCTCAGGAAGCTATCGGGGAGTGGCTGTGGGAAAGGTGAGGGAGCACAGGCGGGTGGACCCAGGCCGGTGCAGCTGCATTCACATCGTAGCGTCCTGGGCCAGCTAGGTGTCCGTGCCTCAGTTTCCCCTCGTGGGGTGTGAGGGCTCACGGGTCAGTGCATGCAAAGTGCTTAGGGAGAGCTGGAGCCTCTCAGTGCCAGACAGAGGGGCATGCCCAGCCCAGCAGATACTGCCAGCCCCTAGTCCCAGGTCCAGAACCTCCACTCCAGGATGGCATTTACTGCCTCCCCAACGGCCCCCCAGATCCCACCTCCTGTCCTCTCGGGAAGTCACTTCTGCCTCCTGCCACTCATCAACCCAGAGCCCGAGGCTCCCGTGATGCCCGCGCCTCCGCGGTGCCCGGGCCTTCAGTGCCAATTCCCTCTCACCTGCTGCAGGAGCCCATGGCCCCTTCCCCCACTGGGGCGGCTCAGGCCTTGGTGTCCTGTCCCCACAGGGCCCCATCGGCCTGGGAAAGCCTGAGGTCTCCTCCTCTTCTCTCCATCCAGGCAGGCTGGCTTTCCTCCTGCTCTGTCTGTGGGAGGCACCGGGCACTCTCCCCAGCTCCACCACCTGCGCTTGGTGGAGCCCCTCCCCCCTCCTTCTCAAGCCTCCAGAGCCTGGTGGGGCGGCCTGCCTGTGGCTCCCACTGCCCCTCTGTGGCTCTTCCTGTGGGACTCTGGGCCCCAGGGTGCTTCCAACTGCGGGACACTCCCAGGTGGCACATCCCGGCCTCATCAGTGGGGAGCAGGGAGAGCCTGGGGAGCATAGGTGTCTGGGTGGAGGTGGATGCCCAGGAAGGAGACAGGGCTGCTGTCCTCGCAGCTGCATGGCTGCTGGAGCTTGGAGGAGGTGCTTTCAGGGTCCCTAGCAGGGCTGGCTCCTCAGTGCCGCGAGGTCTCCAGGTACCTTGCACAGGGCGTGAAGAAAGTGGAGGGTCCCTGGGAGGAGGATGCCAGGGCGGCCAAGAGAGATGGCACGTTCTGGAAGGAGCAAGGTGACAGGGAAGAGGGAGGCTCCGTGGGCCACAGGTAGGGTGGTAACGGGGGACAGGTTCCAGCTGGGGCTGCGTGGAGTGGGGTGCGGCATGGAGGGGCTGTGGCGTGGAGGGGGTATGGCTTGGAGGAGGCACTCGGCGTGGAGCCGGGCGCACGGCATGGAGGGGTGCTTCCAAAGCATCTGGGAGCAATTGTCTTTTGTATGGGTCCAAAGCCCTCCTTTTCTCTCAGCATTTCGACACAGAGCACACCCCTGCTGTTGGCAGCCACCATACTGTACAGTGTTTCCTACCTTTAGAAGAAAACTAACCTGAATATTTGAGAGAACTTTTGGATTTGATTCCGAACAAAAACACCCTGTGGGGTTGAAGCCACACGAGGCACCCCGTGTGATTGCGGAGGCCCCACACGCTGTGTCGATGACGTCGGGAGTCCCATGCAGAAAGGCGGCCCGAGCTCAGGAGGCGCCTTCCCAGGCTGTTTCTCATGATTTCTCCAAAGAGCTGTGAGTGGAGCCGGCGGCTCGGCATTGCTGTCCTGCTTCTCAAATCCTCTCTGCTCGGTGCCTGGGACGACGGCGCCTTCGGGAACACCCCATGGGTTCCTGCTGACCTGGGTGCCGGCGCACCGAGTCAGTCGTGCCCAGAAATTGGGAGTTGTCCCCATCGACGTAGGGTCAAGATGGTCAGCCCATCTCCACGGCCCGGTTAAACACACAGCACCGCAGCCGTGGAGAACAAACTCTCCGTCTGCAGGGTGGGCGTGCCTGCACCGGACGCAGCCCCAAGCCCATCGCATCCTTCATCAACCGCCGGTGTTGCACCCGGCTGACAGAAATTTAATTCAAGCTGGCTCCTGAAAATAATTATTGTATTTTAAGAGTAGTAATCATTGGCCGGGACATGATTGAATGTGTCCATGCCTATTGACTTTTCCTATGATTTATAGCTTTGTTTAGTCGATATTCCCATCGAAATTGTATAATTAATTATAAGTGTGGCTGTCAGGGCTGCAGGATGGAGTGCCCTGGTGAGGATTTGGAGAGATTAAATTTTCTTCGGCTGTCCCAGGGCTGGGCTTGGGAGTTTCCGCAGCGCCGGCCTCTTGGAGGGAGGTGTTTTCTGTGTGTTTAGCAACCGCTGTAGCCTCAGGTGCATTGATTTTCTGGGCCTCGTTCCTTTATCAGCGCCGGTGTCTCTGCAGGAGCGGCGGGAGCCGCGGCCGGGGCAGCTCCTGACAGATGCGCAGGATCAGCCACTGCTTTGTCATTGTCCACACGGCCCTGCCTGCCTTCACTTTGTAATCAAGAAGAATGTGGGAGACCTTGTGAAATTGGTGATCATGTTTGTGAAAAATCTCAGAGATACAAATTATCAATTCAACAGCAGCGTGTGCAGTTTGTAATCAGAAACCTCTGCTGTCTGGTATTTTGTTCCAGCTGCAGCAGGGGCCTCACACACTTCATTCTGGGGGCAACAACCCCCATGCCGGCCATGCAGGGCGAGGCTCCCTCCAACTTCTCAGAGCTGGTAGCCGAGCAGGGACATGCTGGGACCCTCCCGCCCCACAGGATCCCCCCGTCACACAGCCGCCATGGTCCCTTCGCAGCTTTGCATTTGCATCACGGTCCGGCGAACCTCTGCCTCCCCGGTAGGCGGGAAGGCCCCAGGGGGTAAAGACCACGTGTCTGGAGTGTCTGGCACAGTTCCCGACACAGGAGCAGCACGGGGAGCCCGCATCCGATGAGGATGGAGGCAGGCCCAGGCCAGGACGCCTCTGTCAGGAGACAGGCTCACAAGTGAGCAACGGGGATTCCCAGCTGGGCTGCCCCGGGGTTTTCTCTCAGACACCGGGCTCAGGGCTGGTGAGTGTGAGTGGGGGCGAGTGCCTATGGGCCTGGGGGCATCACAGAGGACAGAGGACAGCCTGGGGCCCGCATTCCTCCACACCCTGGCTCCAGTACGTTTAAGCAGCTTGAAGGTTCAAGTTCATTTCAAACCACACATGAATTTCCTTTTATTTTTGCTTTGCACTGCCAAAACTGGGGGCCTCCTAACTCAGAAGACAGGGTGGGAATGTGGCCTTGGTCCACTGAGCAGTCCTGAAACACCCACCCAGGCAGGACGCTGGCCGAGGAATCCCATTCAATCCCCATGGGAAGGAGGGGCCCCCGGCCACCGAAAACCGTGGGCAGCCCCAGCCTGCTCCTCCTTCCCGAAAACCGTGGGCAGCCCCAGCCTGCTCCTCCTTCCTGGAGTTTTCCAGCTTCCCCACAACTTGGCTTGGGGTTGTGCTTATCGGAGTGTGTGTGAGCGTGTGAGTGTGTGCGCACAGACGTGTGTGAGGCATATGCATGTGAGCCTGTATGAGTATGCATGAGAGTGTGTGCATATGCATGTGAGCAGGTGACTGCATGTGTGAGTGGGTGTGAGCATGTGTGAGTGTGCAGGCATGTTCGTATGAGCATGTGTGAGCATGTGTGTGTGCAGGCATATGCATGTGAGCAGGTGTGTGTGAGCAGGTGCGAGCGTGTGTGAGCAGGCATAGGCATATGAGCAGGTGTGTGTGAGCAGGTGTGAGCGAGCATGTGTGAGCAGGCATAGGCATATGAGCAGGTGAGTGCATGTTTGTGAGCAGATGTGGGCATGCATGAGTGTGTGTGAGCGGGCATGTGCATGTGAGCCTGTATATGTGTGAGTGTGTGTGCATATACATTTGAGTGGGTGTGTGTGTGAGCAGGCATATGCGAGTGAGCAGGTGTGTGTGTGAACAGGTGTGAGCGAGTGTGTGAGCAGGCATAGGCATATGAGCAGGTGTGTGCATGTTTGTGAGCAGCCATGAGCATGCATGAGCGTGTGTGTGAGCGTGTGTGCATATGCATTTGGGTGAGTGTGTGTGAGCAGGAATATGCATATGAGCAGGTGTGTGTGTGAGAGCAGGTGTGTGCATGGATGAGCGTGTGTGAGCAGGCGTGTGTATGTGAG